ATTCTTTCCTGAGCACCAAGTGGACAGAACAATAGATTTTCCCCACCCATTATTGTCTTGCATACCAATTAGCTCTTCTCATGGACTACAATTTGTAATTTTGTAATTATCTGCATACTTATTTCATGTTGGATTCCCTTAGAAGACTATAAATTTCATGAGACACTAAGGAATAGTTTCTTTATTCCCAATATTAAGCATGGTTGAATAATGAATTAATGATTCTATTGTGGTAGATTCTATAGGGTTGAGAAATATTAATAACTAAATATGGGCTCTATCCCTAAGAATTTGCTTTCTAGTAAAAAAATAAATAAATAAAGCATGCCCATAAATATTGTTTAAAAATACAGAAAGTAATTCTTGTCTCAAAAAATGTGTAGGAGGGTGCTGTATTAGGCTTCTAGGCTGCTGTAACAAATTATTACAAACTTGTTAACTTATATAAATTTATTCTTTCACAATTTCGAAGACCAGAAGTCCAAAATGAGATTGTTGGCGGGGCTGCTACAGGTGCTAAGTGAGTTTGGTAGGTAGGAGAGAGTGGACTATTTCTGGCTAGGTCAGGGAGAGAAGGTTTCATGGAATAAATAGCATTTAAAGTAACCTGGAAGGATGGATTAGATTTGCATATGGAAAAACAGAATGATGGCCATTCCAGATAACAGAAACAATACTAATAAATGAGGGTGAGGAAATCTGGCCTGAGTGTATGGTATATTAAACCATAAAATTAAGTCAAAAATTGGGACAGAATTAGATTTTAGAGTGTCATGAATATTGGATAGGCATTGTTTGGTAATTACTATAGAATATTAAAGTTTTGTCTGAACAAAAGTGACATGATCTTAGGGCTCCTGCTTCATGAAACCTATTGGGGCAACAGTGTTCAGGATGAACAGGTCTCCCCTCTCTGTTTCTCCCGACTAGGAGATTAGTACAACCAAGAGAAGATGAAAACCTGACGAGGACAGAGATACCAAAAAAGGAGAATTACTGGCCACTTATTGGATACTTGGGGGGTATGGGAGAAGGAAGAATGAGGTATTTTGAGCCAAGATGACCTGGAGAATTGGGGTGAAGAAAATTAGGATAGTCAAAAGAAGGATGATTTTTAACTAGGAGGATAATTACTTGATATATTGATTCTGAGAAACTGGTGTGATATCTATATAGTTGAAGATTTAAATAAGGAAACTGGAAATACAGTGCTGTAGTTTGGGACTTAAGATATAAATGTGTGCGCTATCAACAGTGAAATAAATGAAGTCATACAACCCTGCAAAACAGTGTCAAATCATGGGAAAAGTATGCATGTGGAGTTTGACAGACATATTTGCATCCTATCTCAACCAATTACCTTTTGTATGACCTGGGACAAATTGCTTAATTCTTCCACTTTCTCGTTTGTGAAAAAAGGGGAAAATAATATTATCCCTTAGTCAGGATTACCTGAGTTGAGTATTTAAAAGACCTATCATCTTTAGATCTGCTTTCATATTTTGGTGGCATGATTCCCAGTAAGACATATATTTTTTTCAATCTATTATCTTAAAAATATGTAACACACTCTTTTTACAAACTTTTTTTCTTTGATTCTATTTCTTAAAAGCATATTGACTGTGATCCTCTAAACTGATTTCATGACCTATGAATGAGTTGCAACCTATACTTTGGAAAACATTGGCCCTAACCAGCATTCTATACTCAGGTCACACCATTACCATTGTTTCCTCAACTTCCCTCTGCCTAGGCTGCTTGCTAATATGATATTATTCCTTGATGGTCCAGAAGAAGTGATAACCATTTATTTCCTCTACTACACCCATAAAATACTTTGTCTATAAGAAAGATGTATCTGTTGTCCAACTACTACTCTGGTCTCTTTGGATTGTCAAATGACAGAATCCAATAAAGGAAACCTGAAATAAATTACCAGGGCAAGTAATTCATTTTAAATTATTATTATTTCAATTTTTCCAGACCCAGAGAAACTTTTCTCTGATGGAAATGACTCCTGGCAACAATGACATTCTGACACCATGCCTGATGCACCCTCTTTGGGAAGTTTGAATTCAACGTCACAATGGCTGTGTTCAGATTACCGGTTTCATCTTGCTTGTAAGCCCAATTAAACTACTGAAGTTTCTAATGGCCTTCTGTCCACTTTGTAAATCATCATAAAGAATATTAAACCAACCACATAAATTTGCCTCTGTGTGACTCAATGCACAACCAGAGGCACAATACCAAAATGTATAATAAACTAATAACAATTTTTTGATAACAATAAATGCTTTTAGAATACCCTTTATATATGAATTTTGGACTAGTTGGTAGAGGGGACCACAGTTCAGTGGGTCTCATAAGATGAGCCTAAGGCAATCTGCTCCTCAGCAAACACAGTTCAGACTCTGAGTGTAGAAGAAAGATCAAAGCCTCAGAGTCCAAAGTTGGGTTTACTCTCAGGCCTAGATGTCTGAGGATGATTCGCATTGGTGATCAGTATGGTTTGGGTAACCTGCATGCCCTACCCTGGGCCTCAATTTACTTATTCCAAAATGGGACGACTGGACTTTTATTTCTTATATCCTTTCTACCTGTAACGTTTGACGATGCTCTGCCCTTACATCCCTTTCACCTCAATCTTTTAATCTTAAAAAATGTGAAATGTGTTTATAAAGTTCTTTGATGTCCCTAAATGTTATTCAACATGTTAACAGTACAATTCATGAAGCCTAAATTTTATCATTTTAGCTTTGCCTCAGAGGCCAAGTTTTATGAGAGCCTTAATTTGCACCACCAGAAGCTAATTTAATAAAAATGAAGGGACCCCTTTTAGAAATAAATTAAAATTGGTGGGGGAGGGCAGGTAACTTTATGCAAAAGAAAAACAACAGCAACAAAAACCCGGGAAACTCACCTTAGAGGGGTTAAATTGTTCTGAGTTCTAAATAATGCTGTGGTCTTATTTGTGCTGAGAAACTGGTCCTGGTTTTTGATGCACTGAAAGTAGAAGTTTCTAATGGCAACTTCCCAAATCTCTGGACTCTTGACCCAATAGCTTTTGTACCATTTGTCCCATTTTCTTGAAGCACGATCTACTGCATAGTAATTAGACAAACAGGTACAGAGCATCATACATCCTAGAGCCAGGTAGATTTATCTTTGGAGACAACTTCAGTGTATGGGATGTAAGACACAACTTAAACAGAAAACTAGTGAAGACCACTTCACAGACAAAAAGGATATGTATGAATGGGCACTTCTCATTCTGCTCAGGTGAAAGAAGTATAAAGTCAAAGAGGAGAAAGACTAGGTGACTGATGCCTAATGTTATGTGGTAAATAGTAGGTTTGTCTTTGACAAATTCCTTTATAATTATCTTCCTGACTGTCAAAAACTTTATTCAACCCATCTTCACAATATTCTCTGAATGAATGACTCCTAAAGTTCTGACTTAAATTTTCTAATTGTACTAATAACAATAGCTGTTTCTTGATTACTACTATTATGCCAAGTACTGGGGATTACAAAAATCAATAAGAAATATACCCTGATTTTAGAGACCTTACCATCTATGGTTTTTAACTGTGGTAGTTGTGACAAAAATAACAATAACCATCATGTATTCACTCATACCATCCAGGCACTGTGCTCAGTGGGCAGCATATATAAGCTGCCAAAGTTCCCTCCAGTTCACCAGATACCCTGACAGTGAAGTGATCTTGCTCTGTCCATGCATCATCTCTCAAAAAAAAAAAAAAAAAAAAAAAAATGGACCTAACAGGAATTCAGACAATAGGTAGGGATATTTAAGCAACGTCAGAACTGTCTACAGTAAACATACAAGAACTGTAGTCAATAATGAAAGAGTGCAGTAAACCAAAATGAAAATGGAAGAAATCATCTGAATCACCTTTAGTGTACTCTGTAGAGAGGAACTGTGACACTTTGAAAACCACGATGCAGTAAACCCCACATCCAGCATTCCAACAATTACACAAGGAGATGAATGCTATTTAAGTGTTTTAAGACTTTCTAGCAAAAGACCTCATAACACATTAAATTGTGAAACTTAGGAAGACATCATAACCTTCTGGACTTCACTACGAAAATGAACATTTTGATCTAAAATTTTAAAAATATAACACTGAATTTCCTTGTAGTATTTCATAACCTTTGAGTGGGGCATTAAAGTGCTTTTCTTTTTTCCCCCACCATCTCTAAGCTTCTGTTTTCTTACCCTGGGCGTCTGAATCTATTATATGCTTGGGTTCTATTCACTGCCTGTTATTCAGACATTGAAATCCCAAATGTTAATTGTTCTTCCAAGTACATTGACAAAACAGCAGCTAAATAAGGGTAGACCAGACTGTGGTAGACTCTGACATGCATTTATGGAACAATGGGGCTCTGAGAGACAGCCTTGTAGCTCACGGGAAGACATAAGATGTGCTATTTTGACTGCTTCATAGCAGAATGGGGAACACACGCACACAAGGGAATTATGCATTTTACTTAGTTTTGCCCAAAGTCCTCAAAGCAACAGAATCTTGTGATGTCATCATGAACTTTCTTTCTCTCCATTTACATTGACACAAAGGCTAAAAATTTCTAATGACATCACAAAGGAAAAAGGAACCTACTTCAATGCCATAAGAAATCTGTTACCATCTAAGAGACTTGTACCAAAATGTAAGAATCCTTCCTGACAGGGTGTATGTCACTGTGCTGATGCACGGTGGGTGACACCCTCCTTAATGCAATTCAAGCCAGCCAAAAGAAAGGATTCACAATTTAGGTTGGATAAAAAAGACATACTGAATATTGAGCCTTACAAATTTTCTTTTTTTAAAGAAGGAAATCATTTAAACATGTATTTCTTCAGGGATATTCAAATTTTTACTCATGTCTGGTTACTATGTTACCAATATTTTTGTCCTTTTATTGAGTTGGTCACAAAAACACAGAGGAAGGTAGAGGAAGCTTTCACTTACAAGAATGCGGTGCAGCTCAATCTTTTGTTTTTAAGGTGCAGTGATTTCAGTCTCTAAATGTAACTTCAGGCAGTCTGAAAAGAAACAGGTTAAAATCTCTTCCAGTTATAATTGGTATTTCAGATTTAATTAAAAATTAAACTTTCATAATGTTTCACCATCCAAAGCAATGCATTATCAGTCAAGCGTGGCTTTTTTTTTTCCTAAGGAAAAAAAAAAAACTCTCTTCCCAGAGTCGTTTTTTTAATGAAAAGAAAAGGATCTAAAGAGGAAAAAAAGCAATTCTGAAAAACAAAATATGCCGCCATGTTAAGGACTTCATAATGATATGACTAGAAGCTCAGTGCTTCTGAATTTTACCTATATTCTGATTTTTTAAAAACTCCTAAATAATTCCAAAGCCTCAAGATTACATAAAATGTTATTTCAGAGAAAAAAGAAGAAAATCTACAATCTGAATACACATATTAAAGGGAAATATAACTTCAAATAAAATTGGAAAAAAATGTTACATCTTCTACTTTCAAATGACTGAATTGGTGGTGGGGCAAATGGTAAAGTAGAGGTAAAGGAACATACTTAGTAATACAAATGCCCATTGCAAGGTATTGCGGGTTTAGTGCACTCCAGACCACATCAATATTATATAGCTAGTCACATGTAGCACTGCTATTTGAAGCAACATGGGAAGACCATCAGGGTTTGAACCAGCCTTCTTGATTTAAATAACTGTGAATGCATTTAAAAAATACCTATTTTTAATCTTTGAATTAAGAGTCCAGGCATTAAAATAAAAATATGTCATAAATACTTGGGCTTAAAATGTCATACTAATTTTTTCAATCCTTTCTTTCTTCATACAACACCATCTATGAATAAGATAATAGTTAAAAAACAGAGAGGATTAAGTCATCCCTATTTTTAGCTTCAAATAACTGATACAACAGGTTTAGAAAAACAGAGCTTTTTAGTGTAAAATGGAGACAGAACAATTATCTTTCTTTTACTTTACAGCATGGCAGTACATTTTTTATATATTTGTAGCACTAAATATGGTATGTTTATGTCCACCTTCCTACTAATGTAAGGTAATATTTTAATATCACCATATATGAGAGTATGATCATAGATCAGCCCTGAAATTGCATCTGTTTTTAGAAAATGCATCTAGTTCTTACTTGTGAATTCTATTTTCTTTTTCTCTTGTATTATATAGAGGAATATTTTGGGTATTGTGTCTATTTGATGCATATAGATTTTAAGTTCAAACTGGCTTAAATTCACTAGGTCTATCCATGAATGGATCCAAAAAAAAAAAAAAGACCACTGACATTGACTGACTAAACTTTTCCCCTGCTTCTCGCATGCCTGAATTAGACTAAAAATGCACCAGTGTAAAGACAGAAATTAGGGAGGCGTCACCAGGGACAACTGACTGAGAGGAGGGGAGTTCACATATTTCCTTATAAGGCAACAAAACATTCATAAAAGAAACTGACAAAAATAACTCATGCTCAGAAATAATAAGGAATAACAATAATCCCCAATAAATGATTCAGAAATATAAAAACTGCTCACTTCTATATAAATCTGAATCACCAACTGGTATTGTTCTACTCACCAACCACATATAGTTAGTGAAACGGATTCAACTGTCTAGTTCAGACAAGAAAGGGTGATACAAACTAGGCTGCATATTTATATATAAACTACTTAGCTGACAACTAGCAGTTCAATTTAATCAGTCAGATTTCCTTTTCCTTAATTCACCAGATGTTGAGTGAATTGAACTCTTAGTTCAAAACAATAAAGCAGTTTCTACGAACAGAAAGTCAAGTTACATTCTCCTCTTCTCATGTCATTCGTCTTTCTCTTCTTTGACCTTTCTCTTCTCTTCTCTATCTCTGCCTGTTTCTTCCTTACTTTCACTTTCTTCCTTATTTATTTTCTCCCTCTCTCTTTCATTTTTTTCCCCCTTGGTGAGGCTAATGAAGCTCAAAAATAACATCTTGTATCCTGTTGAGGGAAACTTGGTCACAACTATCCTTCCAGATGACAAACTCATTCTTAAATGTCTGCTTCCCAATCCAAAGAAAACAGAGTAATTGAGAAAATAGAGATGCAACATCACTTAGCACTACCAACACCACCACTTTTAATTCCCATGTTACATTCATCACAAGGAGGACTGCAGTTTATTTATGTTATCCCCTAACCTCAAATAGGACCACAAATAAGACTAATAACAGGACCATTTTGTGGCACTCAGGCAAACGGCTGGGCAAAACAGATGGATCTTACTTTGCGCCAGGACTCAAAAAATGCAGTCGCCAACACACTGTTGGCGACTACATATCTTGGCCCAAGGATGGACCTGGAAGTGGGACCAGTTGTCTTTGATATGAATACTGTTCCTATTCATATCTGCCTCATGAGAAATCATTAACTCTGTTCCTATGTAGCGGAGTTAAGTATTGGGTAGAAACTCTTTGGAAGATTGATCATCGAGAAAGTGAAATATTCTAAAGGCATGTCAGATTAGATTAAGGAGCAGAGAAGTTAGGACTAGGACCTTATTTTTGGCACTACTGTCTACTTTTCAACTTCCTGTTTTTTTCAAGTTCAGTACTGTACACTGAACCCACTTTTAAAATACTAGATTTCCAGAGTATGTGTCATCAATAAGAATAACTTGCTGCTGATGTTTTGGGTTCCAAAATCTGTTAAAATTTTTTCAAGTTATCCAGATCAACCTCAGTCATTATTAAAACTGACCACCAATGTCAGACTTCTTTAATCAAGACAGAACTATGTAAGGCTTTATAGAATACACCCAGTGATACACTGGGGAACAGCTCAGTAATCAATGCAAATGACAAAGCCCGGAAGAATGCTTCTCTTGGCAGAGACTATTTAGCAAAAGAGTTGTACATTCTGCACTAGTTAAAGATTCTGAATGGCTTTCCAGAGAAGTAGCAAATGCATTATATTACAGTAACCCATCCTGTAAGTCTTCAAGGCCAAAAAACAAAGCCCCGGACAATAAAAAACTGAAGGGGGGTGAGGAACTATAGATCTTAGTATTGATTAGGAACAAAGGACTGCTTCTGACCACATCGAATAGGTAGGAGTTTTAGATATCACCAGGTCACAGAACTTCAAGGAAAGAGCAACAAAGCACTCCAGTTTAGCAAGTCTGTGCTAATACAGGCAATTCTCTTAATGCTTTCCCAACTATTCAGCACCTATATCTTGCTCAGATTGTTTTTGAGAGTTCACTCACCTCTCTATGAGTTATTCATTCTGACACTGTTCAGATTTGATTTTTAACAGACAAGCCCTGTTTGTGGTCAACATAGAGACCAGATTATAATGTTTTAATTATTTCCCTTAGTCTTTTTTTTTTCCCTTTTCACTTACAACTTTGCTTATTGTGAAATATTTCAAACATATGCAAGAGTAGAGAGAGTATAGTAAAATGAACTCCCCACCCCCTGCAAAGAAAAGAATTCCTATGCACATTGCTTTATTGCACTTTATAGATACTGCATTTTTTACAAATTGAAAGTTTGTGGCAACCCTGCATCAAGCACTTCTACCGGTGCCATTTTTCCAACAGCATTTGCTCACTTCATGTCTCTGGTAATTATATCTTGGTAATTCTTGCAATATTTCAAATTTTTCATTATTATTTTATTCGTTATGGTGATCTGTGATCAGTATCTCTGATGTTACTATTGCAAAAAGACTATAACTAGCTGAAGTCTCAGATGATGGTTAGCATTTTTTAGCAATAAAATATTTTTAAATGAAAGTATGTACATACATAATGCTATTGCACACTTAATAGACTACAGTATAGTGTAAACATAACTTTATATGAATTGTTGAAACCAAAAGATTTGTGTGACTTGCTTTATTGTGGTGGTCTGGAACTTGAACCTTAATAATTCTTAAATAGGCTTGCAGATAGAAATACAATTGACTTGTGTATAATGCTCTTTTACCCAGCGAGCTTGCTGAACTCATTTATTAGTTTATGTGTATGTGTATGCATTCCTTAATATTCTCTACGTACTTATGATGTTTTCTGCAAATAAAAGTTTTAGTTTTTACCTTCCAATCTGGATGCCTTTGATTTCTTTCTTTTCTGTCTGTTTCTTTCTTTTTTTTTTCTTTCCTTGCTTTATTTCCTCTTTTTCTTTTTATTTATTTATTTTTCTTACCTTTCTGTACAGAAACTCCAGTACAATTTTGAACAGGAGAGGTGAGAGCTGACAACCTTGCCTTGTTCCCAATCTTAGAGAAACCCGTCAGTTTTCCATCATTAAGTATGATATTAGTTGCAGGTTTTTTCATAAGTGCCCCTTATTTAGGTACAGAAGTTCTATCCCTAGTTTGTTAAAAGTTTCTGTCACAAATGCATATTGGATTTTCTCAAAATTTTTTTTGTGTATCTATTGCCACAGTAGATATACATATAGATAAATATACATATAGATACAATAGATATAGTCATGTGGTTCTCGCCTTTATTCTACTAATATGTTATATTACATGAATGGATTACTGGATGTTAAACCAATCTTGCATCACTAGGATAAATCCTACTTGGTCAGGGTGTAAATAATATTACAGATTGCTGTACTTAGGTTTCTGAATATTTTGTAGAGGATTTTTGTTTCTATATTTATGAGGAATACTGGTTTATTTTCTTATGATGTCTTTGTCTGGATTTGGTCTCAGGGTAATACTGTTCTAATAGGATGAACTGAAAAGTGTTCCTTCTTCCTCTATTTTTGGAAAAGTTTGTGAAAAATTGGTATTATTTCTCCTTTAAATATTGGTTAGGATACAGTGAAGTCATTTGCATCCAGACTTTTCTTTGTGGGATGACTTAGTTAATAATTCTATCTTTTTACTGTTATAGGTCCATTTAGATTTTCTATTTCTTCTTGAATCAGTTTTGGTAATTTGTGCATTTCTAGAAGTAATACCATTTTATCTAAATTGTCTAATTTCTTGGAATATATTTGTTCATAGTATTACATTTTAATCTTTTAAATTTCTATGGGGT